ACCCAAACCTGTACTACAGCCCAGTTTGAGAATACACAGAACACTAGAAGTTGAGGGCTCTGTTAAGTTAAAATGAGCCCCAGGTCTCATCTTAAAGAAGAACTCGGGGTAATAGAAAACGTAACCCTTGCAGTGGGGTTTTAGTCTAGGGTCCCCACACAGCTCCCTCCTTATGTATCATTTCCCGCTCCTCTTTCAGATTGTAAGCCCTCAGGGGCAGGGCCCTCCTTACCATCTTGTATTGTATTGTAACTGTAATGTCTTCCTTATATTGTAATGCGCTGCGCAAACTGTTGGCGCTCTATAAATCCTGTATAATAATAATAATAAAAACAAAAACAAAAAAGATACATTCACCCCATCCTCAGTCCTGCCTGGCTGCTAGACCAATCCCCACAGTTTCTTCTTCCTTGGGCTCCGGCAGTCTAATGACCTGCGATGTCATCATATCTATACAGTCTATTAGACATGTAGACTCCAAGGGCATACCACAGCCGTGGGACTGAGGATCGGGTAACTTTATTTTATCCCCTAGACCAAAGCGAGCACTTAGCCCTTGCAGTGCGATGGTAGGCCACACTGCAAGGGTTCATTTTTTAACTGCCCAGAGTTCCTAACACACACATATATACAAACACACACATATATATATACACATATACACACACACACCTATATAACCTTGATATTCCTATTACAATGCTGATGTTATAACAGGATAGTATATGCTGAGACTGTACAACTCCAATGTCATTGTTCAGAGACTGCCTGTTACCAGCATCTACGATGGCGCATAACCCTGAATGCTGCAATGTCATAGAAGCAACCCAGAGCCTGCTCCAGGAACCCCTCTCCTCTTCCCTTTGGAAGACGTAGGTGGCATGCCGGTCAGATGGCCTCGTAGCAGAATACAATCTCCTTCTCGTCAGGAGTGTCACCACGAAGCATTTGTCTATACTGTATACTACCTATCACAGCAGTCATGTGGCTGTTGTTATTAAGCAGAGGAGGAGGAGTAAATCGGTTCAACAAGCAGACCCCTGAGGTTTGCCACCTGCCGGGTCTATAAACATGAGGCCTGGACACAGATGTGACAACCTGACAGATGAGCCACAGAAATGAGCTGGCTTGAAAAGGGGCATGTAAAAAAATTCTAAAAACACCAGTGGATACTTTGTACATGTGCAGAGCATTTGCTTTCAAATTTTTGGAAAGCAGTAGAAAGTTACAAATAAGAGAAGATCGGGAGAATTGTTGGCACATCAATTCTAGTTAAAGGAGTTGTAAAGTCCCAGCACATCCTCTCCTGTTATAACATCAGCATTGTAATAGGAATGCATACTAGAGATGTTTTTGATAATACAATCAAAGCTTACTTGAAAAGAATCCCTTTTATGTAATGAGTGCTGCCTTCTTTCTGCCCATCACTTCCTGGATTCACAGTGTGCTTTGCATCTCTTTCCCTGCTGCTTGTAGTCTTTAATTTCTCAA